GCGCTTTCATGTTGAATTAAATTGACCTATATAAAGTGCTTTGAAGATAAAATGTTGTATGCCATTCGGCCAAGAAGTGTCTTTTTGTGCTTCGCTCAATTGTAGGCCTCCGCTACGCGTCGGCCTTCAAACTTTGAGCTTAGCACAAAAAGCCTTACTTCTTAACCTAATGACATAAATAACTATTATTTTCATCCCAAGAAACATACAGTTTATAGAGGGACACCTCTAATCATACAATTACTTGTAAAATTAGTTTTGTATTTGTTACAATGTTATTTTTTTTATTAGTTAGTGTAAATAACTATTTTTAATTATAATAAAGATTTAGGCATACCTACCATTTGTTTAAATTTATTATAATTTACATTATAAAATTGTGACGGCACAAAATGATTTGACAAGACAAAAAACTTAAATGTCAAAAACTGCTTGGTTTCTTTTCTCTGTTTAAAATTATATAAGCGTAACTATTCTTACGTAGTCGTAGAGAAAATAATGTCTGAAACACGTTTGGAATAGCATATTCCACTCTCGTAAAACCGTCACACTCGCCTTCGGCTCGTGTGTCAAATTTTTCCTCGAGCGGAATATGCTGTATTCCAAACTTGTTACAGAATGTACTATTAACATAAGGTAACTTTTTATTGCTACCCAAAAATAAATATCTCAAATATTTTTTTTTTTACGTTTTTCGGCCCACCCTAATGGGCATGCATGCAACGAAGACTATAGTAACTCAAAAACGTGGATTTTGACTTACTATATGGCATCAACAGATTTTTTCAAGCTCTATTTGTTGGAAGATTACAGTAACTCAGACATGAAACGATATGCAACCAGTGAAAAACTTCCCTGTATAGTAAGTGTAATAATCCACATTCCTACAGGCGAAAACTTTATTAAGTTGAGTTACTCTAGTCTACAATCAAAACTGAGTTACAATAGTCTTCGTTGCATGGGTCGATATGTCCAATGACATACTCTATTTGTATCTCGGACATTTACCAGCCAATTCTTATGTAAAGTTGTCCCCTGAATCCGAAAAGACCGTCAAAAACTATAAAAGTTTAGCAGTTTTGGAGGTATAGTCATGTCAAATTGATTAAATTTCAAAAACTGTTCTGCTCTTATAACTTTTGACGTCATTTTCGGATTCAGCGAATAATATATCATGAGTATTGACTGCTAAATGTCCTGGATACAAATTTCTGTTGACGAGAATTATTAGTGGCTGCTTTTTAGCTATGACATTTTTGACTAATTCATTTTTAGAGAGTAAGTAATATATTGATTTCTTCGTCACAGGACATCTTGCAGAATAACAGTGATTTAAATACAGTGCATGATAGAGAACATAAAAAAACTAATGACATCAAAATAAATAAATTCGGAAAATACTTTTTCTTACTACCTCGACTCAAAATACGTTGTTTCGTCCCCGATTCCACGGCAGAAAGTTTACGTTTCTTGCATTGGTCAAGCTATACGCGCACACTCTAATAGCGGGAGTAAAAATTTATTAGTCGTGTGCTTAACATTCAAATTTCGTACTGCCAACATGAGAAACACAAAAATATGACAGTTTTAAACAATATTTTTGCAATTATAACAACAAATAAACAATTTATGTTTTTACTTTTTTACTTTGTATGTTGTTTTAAGTGTTTAATGGTACTTTTATTTGTTATAAAGTAGTAATTTGTTAATTAAAATACAACCTTTTATTTTTACTGTATTGGCACCGCTGAATTCACGGCCTACTGTTATTTATTTATCAAGCTCTTCAAATGGAGATAGGTACATAAATACACATTTAATTTTTTCCCGTATTTTCGGCCGGATTGTATTTTCGGCCGAGGTAGTAAGAAAAATAGTATACACTACACGGGCAGAAAGTGTGAGAGTCCTGAACTGCGCGCCATGATGCCCTCGGCTTCGCCTCGGGCATCATTGCGCGCAGTGCAGGAATCTCACACTTTCTGCCCTTGTAGTGTAATATACTATTAACATACCACCCGAAAAAATATTATCATCCTGTTCCGACCTAAACATTATAAATGATTCACAAACTAGAGATACCACACTTAATGATATTTGCAACAAACTATTTCAGAAGTCAGACCAAGGAATTAGTAGTTACCTTTAGAATTCAGAAAAGGGATGAGGAATCCGAGAAAGAAATATATGAATTATATGATATTTACAAAAACGAAATAAAAAAAATAACTAAAACCGCAATTTATCTTTAAAAAATATTTAACAATTTATGTTATTTGATGTAAAGTTGTTATGTATATATAAAAATTGTATGTCCAACAATGGTCCATGTGTCCAATTACTATATAAAATGTCCAATTAATATACTTTTTGCATGTTTTTATAAAACTATTATTAAACATTCAAATATTCTTACTTTAAGTAAACGTAAATAAAGTTTAAACAAACAAACTATTCTTTTTATATATTTGTAAGAAAAATAAAAATATTTAAAATAACGGCACATAGTTATTGGACACTTAAGAAATATTATATATTTAAAATTTATATAAATTTAAATTTATATAAATTTTAAATAAATAATATTTCTTAAGAGTCCGTTATTTACCAACTTGTTTTTTTTGTTCGCAGCGCCCCTTAATTTTTAGTTTATGATCTAAAAAAATTATTAAAAAAATTATAAAAAAAAAATTTTCATATTAAACCGTACCACAAAGACGATACATTCTCCATTTAAATAACATGGGGTTCCGGCAAGTTTTACATTTAATTTTTTTTCTCCCGAGCAAGTTAATATACAGCAATAAGAGACACATATTTTTATAGGAAATTGAACGCTGTACAAAAAAGCTTAAAAGTTATTTAAGGTTAAAGTTAAACTTAATTAGTAATTTTTTCGATTTTTTTACTTTGACTGCAAAAATATAATCATTTTTATGAAAATAAATTGTTTATTTTTGAAAATATGAGATTTTATTGTATTATTGAAAAAATAAAAATAATTGAAAAGAGATAAGTAAAAATTATTGCCAAGAGATTTCGATAAATTCAATTTTTTTTATTACATTAAATGAATCTGGTACTAGTTTTACTTAATTTTAGTTCGATTACTTTTTTACATAATATTTTTATTTCTGTGAAATTCTACAAAATTTTATACGACTTTATAAAATATTATACAATAAAAAGTTTTCCTTCAGTACAGCTAATGACGTAGAAATTCTTTTAACAATTATTTTTAGGACAAAATAAAATTCGTAAGTTACGTATACGTTGTCTTGAGTATGAGACGCAGACATTTTCGCTACACCAATTCTCCTTTTCAAATAAGTTAAATGTATTTTTCTACTCCCACCTTTAAAACGCCCTTTATCGTACATGTTTCCATGACACTAAGTGACCTTTTAAATACACATTGACAAGTTGTGGCTTTACGGCGCTTTAGTCACGGGCTGGAGTTAGCAACAGGTTTTTAGTCACAAGCTGAAGTTAGTTTTAAGTTAGTTGACAGTTGTCAAATGTCATACAATCGTTAAAATAAAGTGCCTTTCTTGTAAAATAATACTAAATGTAAAAATTAATTTATTATCTCAATACAAAAATACAAAAATATTAAATAGTTTCTCAACGCCAATATTTTAATTTCGCCGGCAGTAAACTATAACTTAAATTCGGGAACGGACTCTACTGTAAAGTCCTCATAAAACATTTCCTTTACTTTCACTGTGAAAAACTGTCAATTTTCAAGATCCATTTCGATTTATAACCTTTATAATTGTGTTTATAAAATGTAAAAATGTTACATTTGACAGTTTCCCCTGTTGTTTCATAGATGGCGCTCTATACAAATTTTGGTTTAAATCATTTTAAGATAATAATAAGTATTTGTCGTAGAAAAAGTATAGTATGCACCTCGTTTATAAACTTTTCTATACACTCATTAATTTAAGCACTCGCTCGCAAGCTCGCTCGTGCCTAAATTAAATTCGTGTATAAAATGGCGTTTATCAAACTTGATACATAATATACTATTATCTACTTCTACATTGACGAGCTGTGACTTTATGGCGCTTTAGTCACGGGCTGAAGTTGGCAATAAGTAGTGGCTTTTGGGAATTTTAGTCACGGGCTGAAATTAGCTTTATTATACATTAGAAAAAAGTGAGGTTAATTCCATTGACATTTGACAGATGTCAAATGTTTAACAAATATAATTGGCTTTAAATTCTTTTTTGTGTTCGTCGTAGATAAAGTATACTTAGTATGCAACTCGCTTTATAAACTTATCTAGACACTCATTTTTAATAAGCTTTGCTCGTGCCTAATAAAACTCGTAACTGAAATGGCATTTTGTAGAATTTCACAGAAATAAAAAGATTATGTAAAAAAAGTAATCGTTCTACGTTTGAGTAAAACTAGTACCAGATTCTTTTAATGTAATATACAATTTTTAATTTATCGGAATCCCTTGTCCATAATTTTCACTTATTTTTTTTCAATAATTTTTACTTTTTTAATAATACAATAAAATCACATATTTTCAAACATTAACAATTTATTTTTATAAAAATAATGATAATTTTGCAGTCAAAGTAAAAAAAAACTTTAAGTTCAATTTTAACCTTAAATAACTTTTAAACCAGTGAATTTATCGAAAAATCTTAAGAAATCTTTTTTGTACAGCGTTCAATTTCCTATAAAAATGTATATCACTTTTTGCTGTATATTTACTTGCTTCAGAGAATAAACAAATACTTTTGTTACTGAGTCTATACATTTTTTTAACGTTAACAACACAGTTTAGCAATAATAATCGATAACAGCCTATGCTCTTAGCAATTTTAATAATTTTTAACAATAATTTTTTAAGTAGACTCTACTACAACCTAGACATTTTTCAACATTTTCTCATAGCGACTAAATAGTGCCAAACGTCCTTAATAGTTTGTTATCAAAGGTCTTAAAAAACCAAATTATCTCTTAAAGTTAAGGTACCCCCTATCACTTGCACCTTACCGTCAATCGAACCTCGCAAACGAGCATCAAGGTAGATGGTAGATGGTACCGCAGGTGAGTGGAGAGAGAATGCAAGGCAAAGCGGCACCGCGAGCCCACCAGACCAGCTAAAAACACTCAGTTCGATCGCATACACCTCTGGCACACCATCACCACGCGTACCACCTTTACAAGCAATGACATTTACTCTGTGACGACGGCCAGCAATTTCACTTTCTCACAACGTACAGTGTCGACCTGTTTTGTGTTTGGTTTAGTTAATTAGTGACAGGTTCTACGTTAAAAACACCATTATGTTTAGTAAAGTGCTGTGTTTTTCCGCCTTATTGGCACTTACGACGGCTAAAGGTGAGCACCGTTTGACATTTTATAGTTCGTGGTACTCCATAAGGCTTTATTTTATCATTTTGGGGAACTTGTAAAAAATGTATATTATTATATTGTTTGTTTTATTTATTTTTTGGTTAATGGTTTGGTTATTCCTAATTATTTAAAAATATTCTTTAAAACTTAAATGCTTAAGACTTAAATTAACTTTCTGTTTATACCCAAAATGACCCTACAAAAAAGAATTGCAACCACACCACCATGTATAAAACCAACTTCAATTTGCCAAAAATAACCATGATGTTGTTTTGAAGGGTCCTAATTAAATTGAAAAAAATCAATTATACACATTCATAAAGCCCTTTAGAAATCTTAATAAAAAAATTAAATTGTTTTTACCTAGCTAGAGTTGGACAAAAACAATTTTTGTACAATTTTATTGAAATTTATAGAATTTTTGTACCTACTATACCTATCTAAGTTACTGTTAAATTTAGTAGCGAAAATGACCGTAAAAATAAAAAGTGCCATTTAACCCATTTTTATTTAATTGAATTTGTAAATTTATATTTAAAATTTATAGTACACTTGTTCTTTCGGACAAATAATAAATTTAATCGTTTATTTATTTTTAAAAATATTTATTTTTCCATATTGGATATTCTAAAACTTTATAATAAAAATAATATAACATAAAAAATAAATGTTTTTTTATTTCCAGAATATTGTATACAAATATTTTTTTATGGAAAAGTAGCGAACATTTTTGGATTTTAATAAAAATATAACTTTTATAACAAACTAAAATAATTTTTAAAAAGGCGTTTAAACCCAGACATAAAGTGGTAAAAACAAACGCAAAAATTAAATAAAAAATTGAATTTTTTTTTGTAGAGAATGAAATATTTTATTAAAAAAATTCTTCTGTGCTCTTTATAATCATTATGATAATATAATGTATGATATATTTTTATTGTTTTCTTAACAACTTAATCTTCGACGATTATAATTTTCAAAAATTAACTGATTTTTCTGTTCAAGAAATACTATTTAAAATAAATTTAAATATTTTGTTTTGTCATACGGTTAGAGACTATATATATATAAACTTGTACCTTACATTAGTTTTTAAAAATTAATATACAGTGTGACCCATTTGTTTGCGACTTCGGATTGGTTTTAAAGTGTAGATCTTAAGGCCTTCTGTCAGTTTTTAAGAGTAATTTAAAAAAATTCATATTATAATATCCCTATAGGGATTGTTTTTTTTAAATGTATGCACGGCACTGGATTCACTACCCGTTACAACGACCCTATACTAAATTGTATAGAAAAAAATTTAGGAGGAAGGATTTTATAGCTAAATTAAAAATGTACAATAAATACTATTTACAAAAATGTATTCTGTCAAGTTATCCATAAAAAAAACATTGAAATAAAATTAAACTAATAGTAACATGATATAAAAATTCTTATGCTTAGTTTTAACAAATAAATAACGCAATGAAACAAAAAATAGAGAATTCCAAAAAAATCTCTACAATTAGATTTTCGCCACCTATACTAATCCAGATCAAGATCTACAAACCCGGTTAAAATCGCACAATAAATAAAGATTTTACAGGGGTGAGTCGCCAACAAATGGGTCACATGGTATATGAAAGGAAAACTTGAGCGTGCGGAAAAAAACAGTTGTTTTCCGGAAAAAAACAGAAAATTGGTAAATTTTCAGAAAAATTGACTTTTTAATTTTTTAAATTTTATTCAAAGGGTAATACAAAAAAATGCAAATGTCAATTTTTTTGAAAATTTACAAATATTTTCGACGCTGATTATAATCATATAATATTATGATTATAAAAATTATTCCTTTTTTTTTAATTCAGTAAGAATATTCTACCGGGCCGCAAAAAAACCTATTCGGTGCTGTATTAACATAACTTCTATTTAACACTTCGATTTATAAATTATAATTTTGTAATTTAACTTTATAAATCATTTATTATTTTATAGTTAGATATTTTTAATGGACTCCTTTTTGCAACAAAAAAACTCAACAGACAGTATATTTCACGTTTACGTTTATTTTCTTAAATTTAATTTAATGTTTAGTTTTATTTTTTTTGTAATAAAGGATTTTTTAATTTAAAATATTGTTAACTTGTTGATTGCCACTTTTTTTTAAATGTGTATATTAAAAAAAAAACAATTTTTCCCAAAAAAGCCAATTTTGGGGAAAAACGGAAAAAACAGGTTTTTTTCCCAATTTTTCCGGTTTTTTTCCAAACTTAAAAACCCTACGCAGTACTAAGTGATATTTTTTTGTAACAAAAATTAAATTATATTTAAAAACAAATTGAACAAAAAAATTAAAATCAAATTAAAAATTAAATGAAGGGATACTAAACTTTAATTTAAAGTTATCTTATTAAAGGCAAAAGAAAACCGCTGTGAATAAAAGCACAAATGAAAAACCGTCTTGATTGGGCTAAGTTTAAATTGCACTGGAAAGCGGAAGACTGCATCAAAGTTGTATTAGCGATGAATACAAATTTGACGCGAGTGTTGGTGAGTGAAGTAAAGGCATTGTTTGGGATAAAACTAAAGCATTCACTAAATACTGTTGTAGAAGGACTGTAAAATTTTCAAAGGAGTTAATAATTTAGAGTGTATGTCTGGAAAGGGTGTGGGGCATATTATTATTATTATTAAAAGATGGAATAGCCATATTAACAAATTTTACAAAACAGCCTTATTTCCAGTGTAGAAGAGCTTTATCTTTAAACAAGATGGTTTATTAAGCGACACAGCAAAATTAACTAAAAAATGGTTTAAAAAACAAATTAAGACCAATATCAGAGTTTTTTATGACCTTCAAGTAGTCTAGACCTCAATAATATCGAAACCTTGTGGCACAGCATACAAAGTTATCTAAGAAATAATCATCAATGATTTGAAGACAAAATTATCATAAATATGGAAATCTTTTACACCATATTATTGTAGATCCTTAATGGAATTAAGCCAGAATTAAAGCTATTATGTTAATATAAACTATAGTTTATACACTATTTAAAACTTTCACTATTTTATATAATTATGACAATTGTTTCGCTACACAGTAGCGTATACAGTAGATAGTAAACAAATTAATGGTAATTTTCTTTTTATATAAATAGTGGTTTTACAGGTAATATGTTTAGTACAATATGGGGGGGTAGATTAAATTAGCGTTATACATTAAAGGAACAATAATTATGGGGATGCCCTGTAATCTTTATATCTTTTAAAATTTATTAAAATAATTTAAATAGCGGGGAATTATTGGTTTCTATTTGGTCATTGAGAATATTATCAGTTTTTTTGTTTTAATTGGTTAATTTCCAAGGACTCCAATAAATTCAGTTTCATACTTTAGTTTTTCATATGTAAGATTTTAAAGTTAGAATTGAAATTTTGGTTGTCATTGATGAGATGGTTTGTAAAGGTAGAATCTGTTTTGTGGTTTACAAATAATTTCCTTTGTTCGTTTATTCTAGTTTTAAAGCTACGACCTGTTTGTCCTATATATGTTTTAGGGCAATCTACACAAGTTAATTGGTAAACTCCTGATTTATTGTTTTCCTTGTTTTATCTTTATTATTTTTAATTAAATTTCTTAAATTATTGTTGGTTTTTAATGTGAATTTTATGTTGTTTTTGTTAAGAAAATAACACAACAGTCTCATATTAGTACCTATAGGTACTTATAAGTATGTAAAAGTGTTGTATGTACTCTCTTAAAATGAATTAGTCAAAAATAACTAATATGGTCATATTTGACCAATAATAATAATAATAATAATAATAATAATTTATTTTCAAATAATTGTTTACAGTTTACACACATATACAATTATGGAAAAAAATGTCAAAAGCAAAGGATAAATGCATTGATAAACTAACAATTCATTGATCTATTTTGAAATTCTTCTAAACTATATGGTTCTATATTTATTAACAAATCTTTAAGCTTTTTTTATATATTGACAATTTTGGTTCAATCTGAAGGCATTTTGGCAAATGATTAAAACATTTTATACATGCATAGTGACAACCTTTCTCATACTGACTAATTGTCATAGCGAAAAAGCAGTCACTAATAATTAGTCAAATTCTACTGAATGAAATAGTCAAATTAGTAGATTTAAATTTAAAAAAAGTTGACCCAGCCAGGGATTGAACTCAGGTCTGCCACCTGTCAAGCTTGTCAAACTGTTGTCATAACCCATTCGGCTATCAGCCGCTCTTATAAAAATCAATTTTATTTGTCAATAAATATTGTTCATAATATTTTAAAGTTGAATATATTATTTGTGTTGCTGTTTTGAGCTAAACTTTTTGCATCTTTATTTGTTTTTATGGGTTATTTAACCATGGAGCTTAGGTATATGCATTTAATTCACATAATACTTTATTATTGGCCGCAAACGATTAAAGAAATTAGTTACTTTTAACTCTCAGAAATAGTCAAAGATGGTGACTAATCTTAAATTAGTCAGACTTTAACTATTTACCTACGTAGTAAAAAATAACTACTTAAAAGTGAAAACGACTATTTTATTAGGAAAAAATGCTGGTACTAATTCAAATAGTAGAATAATTTTTAGAGAGTATTCATAGGGTTCTTAGTTATTGGAAATATTTAGTTGATTGTTATTTTATGTATTTTTTATTATAAATGTAAGAATTAGAGTTGTTATAAGGGCCAAATGCCGTACTAAACATTAAAATGGGTGGTCATTCAAACTTATAATAAATTGTTAATTTTTTATTTTATAAATTTATAAAATTAGTTCTTAATTACGCTACTCCATAAACTATGTAAATATTAAATATAATTTCTAATTTTCAAATAAAAAATCAGTAAATATTTAAAAAAAAAATTCATCTGGATATTAAAATTAAATTAAAATTTTAAAAATAAATTACTTTCTAAACTTAATCAAGGTCATAATAAAAAACAAACTTAGGTACTTAGG